ATCGTATTTTTCATCACTTCATCAACATTACGTCAAAACAGGCACCGAATGTACAACAAACCATCTTCAGAAAAACAAAGCAACACGTTGTTTGCACGTTATTTTTTACTTTATTCCCATGGGATCTTGTAGTTCTCCTGTGATGTGTCATGGGTGCAACGTATGGACCACGGCAGGCACGGAGTAGGTGTGAATTGGGGGTAAGACTGTCGGTGGTCAAGTAGACGTGCGGCATTTATTTATTGCATTTATACAGTGAGAACCTCCGCCACGTGAGAGAAGCTTTGCCTCTTCCTGAACATGTCCACTACAGACGACAACAGCGCGTCATGTTTCGTAAGAATACCGCCATGGCTGCACTTCAACAGAACAGGCTGCCGATGTATCCTGTGGGACTTCTTGCCTACAGAGCTAATGCTAAAGAAAACATTGTCACACCACCAGCAGCAAACCTTACTAAGAAACTAAGTGAACCCTCAGACCTCTCCATGAGGTACAAAACCTGACAGGTTAGCACATAAGCTAGCTGTCCAGGCCGCTAATAGGTTGATGATTAAGTGCTTAATTATGTAATATGTGATATGTAAGGTCTACTGAGGTAAGACGTGACAACGCGGAAGAAGCAACAGAGTCTACTATAAAACGCAATAATGAGAATATTTGCCTTCATATCAATGCTACGAGAAGTCGAACGGAATGACATCATCAACAAAAGAGCGGAGAACAACATACTTGGGAAAAGAAAACATGACGAAGCCCTTTTAATAAAGTGCACGGAGATCGTAGTGGTCGCATGTATACACTCTTTATAACGTGCAGCAGTAACAGTATAGAAACGTCACTCCCCCCTCCTATTGGCTCGAGGTGAATTCTCAGGAGAATATCCTGTGGTATTCTGATATCGGCTCACTCGGACTTGCTGGGGAAAAATACTAGGGGTCTGGCAGGAGAAACTACGGGTGAAGTCCGAGAGAAAAATGTGGCTGTTTGCGTTCACACATACAGCTCCTCCTGGAAGTTTTTCAGGAGAATTCTGCAAGTGTGAAAACCCTAATAGACAGATTTGTCAGAAATTGTAAAGGTAAAAAAAATAAAAAATAAAAAAAATAAAAAAACCTGCAGAAAACCAATGAGCAGTACAGAAACATATACGGTAAGAGGGAGAGGAGAAGAAGTGACCCTCGTTGTGTAACAAACAGTGACCCCACCTTATCAAGACTTGTGCACAAGACTTTCATTGTGCTAGATACGTATGTTATGATGAGTCCCATTTTTCCAAGTACATGTCCATCTGAAGTTGTAGTTTCACTGTGACATTTTTCTGTGAAGGTTTATTTAAAATCAGTTGTTTAAAAAGACTCTCAGCTTAGATACATATATGCATTTTTTACTAGGTCTATCCAAATTCCTATGGTCTCGACGACAGCAGAGATACCAGAGAAGCAAATGTCCCACAGCCTTACTCTGTGTTTAGTTCTTTTTCTCTCACTTGGAGAGAGTACAAGTGGACAGCATCTGAGGAGCCACTTCATTACCAGTTCAGTTTAAAAGATATTTCTTCAAAGTACCTGGAGGGAGATCTGAGGGAGAGTGATCAATGAGCAGCAAGTTGTGCTGCTCTGGAGAGGAGTGGATACTGTAGTTGCAGACATTTAACGATTGAGAGAAAGCGATAGGACGAGATAGAGAGAGAGAGTGAGAGAGAGAGCAATACTTTAAAATAGATCCACATCATTCAATTGCACACAAAGCCTTGTAACCAACTTGTGATTATTTTACTGCAAACTTTGGGTTATAGAGTATGACATATTTTAAAAACTGCTCAATATGAACTTTTTTTTAAACTTAAACTTCAAGCAAACTGTCAATCAACCTCTTTGCATTAAAGGCTTTATATGCATTTAGCTTATAAGCTTCTATTAATAGAAGCTTCTATTATAGCTTCTATTAAATGTAATAGAAATCCTCTGAAAATAACTCTGTGAGTCATGACTGTCTACAATGGGTGTAACACCCGAGTCCCACTGTCTGTGATGTTTTCAGAGTTTTCAGAGTCCTATCTTCAGTTTGTTTACATCGCCCGGACAGCAGGCCAACTCCTCCCCTCACTTATAAAAGTTGTTTAATTGAGGGACTAGAGAAAATAACATACTGTACTCAAGATACGAGCATAATAAAGATCGCTAGCATTAGCATGCTAACACAACAATGCACTGCAAGTTGTTTTGGTTTCATGCTGGTGCTCAAGAGTGACATCTGCTGGATCAAAGAAATCGCATATAAAGCCTTTAAAGTTATAAGATCATCACAAATTATTTTGCTACAATATTCTGAATGGGATTGTTTTCACTTCAGTATGATCTCTGCTTCAAAGTACATGAAGGTAAATGTCGACCTTAGAAGAAACACTTGCAATCCCTCCTGCAGCATTGAACTCCTGGGGATGAGAGCGATCAAATTTGACAGGTGGAAGCCGCCCCTGTAATAAAGCAATAACCCAGTGGTCCTCCTGGGGCTGCTTTAGCTTGACTAAACTGTGTTTGATGTCTCACCACACATCGTACGCATTCTTGTCTTTTTCTGTCTATAGACAATGCTGCATGTTCCCCGAGTGTTCTTTGGGGTTGGAATCAATTAGTAACAGTACAAGGACATGAACCTCAGCATATCATAAGCATGTCTGCTCTATGCTGAATTTAGAACGACTGTCATGGTGAAAAGAGATGGCAGCAAGAACAAGAGCAGAGTGTTTGGCCTAGTTAGGCACCACAGTGAGCTGTCCATGGTCCTGAATCCATTTCATATCTCTCTTTCCTTTACTCTCTTTCAGTGCAGCCTGGTCTCTGCTTCACAGGCATGACATACAGACTGCATACAGAGCTAAAGCAGAGGGTGACAAAATGAATTACATTCCCTGCTCAGAAAGAGCAGTGTGATAAGAACAGATGGGCAGATCCACAGTGTTGATTTGTATGCAGTATGGTTGCCTGTTCCCCTTAATGTGAGACAACAATCAACACATCTTGCAGAAATAAAATTGGACTGAATATATTTTCTATTTGTCTGTCTCTCGCTCGGTTGACCTTACTCCATATATGTCTCGTTGTTTTACAGGAAACAAGCTTCAGGATGGCCGAGTGAAATGAATTCAAGCTGAAATTTGAAAACCAATATAAACAGATACTCTGATTAATTAAAGAAAATCCAGGTCAATACTCTTTTAGTACGTTATGTTGATTAACGTTGCTGCCTTTAAATGAAATATGCATTTCTGCTAACATTTTTTGGAATGGATGGAAAGTATTTCCATGTCCTTTAGCTTCACTTCCAGGCAGCATTTGGATCTGTTTATCTCTGGAAAGTATGCTATCAACAGGAGTTTGAAACTACTAGTCACATAACAATGAACTAAAGAGGCACTTCACTAGATTTACACATGAGATTCAGTTTCTATATCATCATGAGGGAAGATTTGGTGAAAAGGCTGTTTCCTATACTGTGCCCCAAATCTGGTACACCCTACAGCAGCCGCAGCTGTCATGCTTGATTCCCCTCAGGGATTTTATGCACTTTCACAAAAGCTGGAGGGAGAATCTTCTTAGGGTTTGTTCTTGTTCATGGTATTTAAAAAATTGGAACACTACTTTTGGACACCTATTTTTTTATGATTATTGCTGTTCTATTTTGTATTTATTACTGTGATAACTACCTGATTCTGATTGGCCAATCCGGTTCAATGGTCTTGCTATCTCTAAATCACAGATGTTAAGAAGAACAAACCATTACTGAGAAAAACACTTGGCTCACAAGGAAAGGGCTCTAATCTGGAGGACTAACTGAAATAACATGAATATGCGGAAAGAAGTCACTGAAAATGAGACAGAAAAACTCAATCAGGTGCTGCTCTGATTCATCGGGATCTGTTCACATTGACTCACTTCACCATCAGTGAAAATGTTCACTTTGGTGTGAGTGAGGAAAGCTAGTTTTGCTCATTTATGAAGGCTACAGAGTTAACCGTTGCTATGGACACAGATCAAACCATCCAACAGACTAGTTTAGCGAAAGAAATACATCACTTTTAATCATTTAGAAAACAATATTAAAATCTATGTTTGTTTCAAATGATTGATTTCCTAAGTAGTAGGCATGTAATTAGCGGGACAATGTATAGTTGGCAAGTTATATTGGAACCCCAACAAGGTAAGCAGGACCCCAACTTGAAGATACATGATCCTGTACTGTCTGTCTGTTGTCTAGAACCAGGTCTCCTGAGAATGACACCCCATGTCTCAAAGAAATTTTTTGTCCGACAAAAATGTAGGTTAAAAAATTTGACAAATGGTTACCTTTTGTAATCGAGTAGCATTGGCTGCCAGTGTTTTAGCAAACATTGGCTGCAGGAAAAACCGTCCTGAGAAAAGGGCAAAATAAAATCCGTAATGCATAACCCATCGACTCTCAACAATGCTTTAGCTTTAATTGACGACATCTGCATGCAGGTGCAGCTGACAGCCTCCTCGGACATTGTTCCTCAACACTAACTCTATCCACATCTCAAGTTTCTACTTGAATGTAAACAAAGTCCTATGCTAAATGGAAATTAATAAACGCCATGTGGCTGCCTGAAACATTACACATTTAAATAATCTTATGACATAAATTCAAACTTTGTAAGATATTGGCGCCAGAAGCAAGAAAACACAAATACCAAAGCTATACATGAATAACAGGTACAGTGAAATACAAGCTTTTCACTTGTGATGTGCCATCTCTCTCTCTCTCTCTCTCTCTCTCTCTCACACTCACTCAATCTCTCTCCCTCTATCTCGCTCTCTCTCTCTCACTTACTCCCTCTATCTCTCTCGCCCTCTCTCTCTCTTTCTCTCTCTCACTCTCTCTCTCTCTTTCTCTCTCTCTCTCTCTATCTCTCTATCTCTCTCTCTCTCTGGAGTTTGTTGGTTGGTTTCAGCAGGATCTCAGCATCTAGCCGGCTCGCCTGACAGAGGACAGAGGCAGTCCTCCTCCTCTCTCAATTCCTCCCTCTTATGTCTGTGTGTTTCTGTCTGTCGTCTCCGCATGTATATGTGAATACAAATGTCGGTAATGGAGACCGTTGAGGACCGGAGCTCGTGCTGTCTTTCCCGCCGGAGACACACAAACTCACCGGACGAACACGCCGACTGATAAGCAGTCTTCAAAGGGAAACGCCGCCGCCGCTGCTGTTTACCACAGTGACGGTCGCTGGTGTTTTCCTCCTGTTTTTTTTTTTTAACGACACGTCTTCGAAATCAGATGCGCTGCTTGAGAAGTTACGGACAAAACACGGATACAACCTCCAAGTCATCTTTCACTTAAAAGGTAAAACGACTCCATAGTGACTAAAACTGTTGAATTCTTGCTTCGTGTTAGTGTCTAACAGCCTACATATCGCCCACTGAGTGTGTGTGTGTGTGTGTGTGTGTGTGTGTGTGTGTGTGTGTGTTTTAGATATTAAGTCAAATATGTCAGACAGGAGTGAACATTTCGTGCAAAGTGGGTGGGATGGTGACTCATGCTGATTCAAACGCTGTTTTTGGACTCAGTATTTACACTGCGTCTATGCGGTGTTTAAATACACACACACACACACACACACACACACACACACACACACACACACACACACACACACACACACACACACACACACACACACACACACACACACACACAACAGCTATAAGGCTGTTCCTTGAACATTTCCCTGGCGCTCTCACAGGACAAGGGGCTCTCTGCTGTCTGTGTGGGTATTAAAACAAAACAACAGTGGGCGATGTGTCCCTGTGATGTTGTGATGCAGCTCCTCCTCCACAGTTTCATCAGCAACATCATTTTCTGACAGGTAAAGAGATGCATGGTGGAGGTTTAGGGGGACTGGGTGGTGTTGGCCCCAGTGGCTTGTCAGGTTAGGTTTAGAACATGTTAGTCACAGACTGCAGGGTTAGTTTGTTACTTGTTAATGGAAGGAAGGAAGGAAGGAAGTCTAATAGGAGACTGAGGGCATGTGGTGTCTTGAAATTTGAAAGTATTCTTTATTTTTGCTCGACGGTCTTCCTAGACTTATTTTTATTGGATGGCTGTGTTTCTAACAGAGGTGTTCTCAAACCTTACTGTCTGCTAATCTCTCAGCAAAGAAATAATGTGTGCAAGATTTTATAAATATGAGGCTAGCTCTCAACTGAAATGTCACAAACTCCATAGGGAACTTTATATGTCATTCTCTCTCCAATATTGAACACAAATAAGCATCATTGTATTGGTTATAACACTCCTTTGTGAACACTCTGAAGGGTGATCAAGCTTTTCGTTTTGAATTTGTTGCACTGTTTTTAGGAGTTTTTATAGGATGGAAGACATGATATTATAAAATCATAATAAATCCTCTCTAAATTGCAGGATCAATTGACTGATATAAATGAGCTGTCGTGTGAACTCAGGCGCATCCTTACATTCAGCGTGCTTCCATGATGATTTAGCCCAGACTCCCATTCCCATATTTACAAGGTCAGATACACTACAAATACATGAATCACACATGCTGCTCTGTCCACTCAGCAGTCACTTTCCCACAGCTCAGCTCAGCTCAGAAATGTTGTGAATGGACAGGACGTTACCAGGAGAAAAAAAAAAACACAGAAATGTTGCCAAATAAAAAAAAAACAACAATAAGAAGAGTCTCTGTTTGGCACACTGGAGGAAACAGCTGATGCAGATCCAGCTGTGCTCAGCCTGAGATATAATCAACAGAAATCAATAGTATTTTTCCAAAAGGTTTAATCACATAAGCTCCCATGGGTCTCTCCAGCATGGATGATATGAGACATGCTCGTGGATCCTTTAGTGGGACGCAGTTTCTTTTTATTCCATTAAATTAACAATGGATTTAGGTCTGGCTACCCTTTAAGTGCAGCTTTTCCAGCTGACCTGAAAAGCAGCCTAACTGCTGCGTTAGTGGCCTCAATTTGCTTCTCCTGCAAAAAAAAAAGAAGTAAAAAATGGTAGGGTATGCTAACTCATAGCCATTTATGTCCATCTTCCCTCTCTTGTTCTCTTGCTCTCTCGTCCACTTTCACACACTCTGCCTCTCTCTCTCTCTCTCTCTCCCTCCTGCTAGTGTGCACTCACTCAAACTGTGTCTCATCGCATCTCGTCACTCTCAGCGGCACTCTGCCCTCTCTGCTTGTCTCCGTCACACACACGCACACATACAAAAAGAAGCAGAACAGCCCACAGCCATGTTGATAAAATCTGGGATTTTGGCACGTACCACTCATGCATTAGCTTGTGTCACAATTTGATTGTTTACTCCCTCCCCCCCTTTTTTTCTATCCTCCTCATGTTGTTTACGTCGTCTGCTGTACGTTGTGATCTCTTTGACCTTATAACATTGCTCTCTGTTAATTTAAGTATATAATGAATGCAATTTTACTTGACAGAAAGAAGAAGCACGGGAATAAAACTGCCAAATCCCTGGAGGTACTCCAAGGGCAGGTCATTTCTATTTCCTCTATTTGCGCAGTGGCTTCATTTCAGAGGAATGGTATATTGCAGAGGGCCATTTATAATGTATAGCGTTGCCCTGTATTAAATATCTGCAGAGTCGGAGGTGTATATTGCACTGCTCAGTCAGGGGGGGCACATTACAGCATATTGCATCAATAAAGGGATGAACGCAATATGGAAGGGAATGGGAAAGAATAGTGTCCTTCTTGTGTATAAAGGTGTTGTAACCTTTTTGGTTTGTAGGTAATATTTTGGTAGATACTGTAACATAACTTCAGAGAAGTGGAGTTATATTGGCAGATTGTAGAAAAGGTTCAAGACACAATGCTGATTTCACCGATGCTGAATTTCTAGGATGAAAACATAACAGGAAGTCTACGATCAAGTATAACAGAACGTGAAGCGGCAGGAACAGATAAAGTAGCAGAAGTCTATATTTAAACTGCCTCACACCGGAGAGAGACCAGATGTCGTCATTCTCCCAAAACAGAAGAAACCAAATCTTTCATATCTCGTTGTGTCCTTTTTCAACTTGTTCTCGATAGAGCTGGTTAGAAATACATCACAGCTTCGAGTCTAGTTACAACATGGTTACAGGTTGTTTTGGAAGGGAGACTGTTTTGATATGAGAACAAAAATAAAACAGATCCAGTTTATGTACCCTGTGTTGCAATTTTCAGATACAAGCTTCTATGTAAAAACTGAATCATTTACTCAGTGAAATGTAACCTTCCTTGTTTGCCCTTTATTTTTCAAAGTTATTTGCAGTTGTATTGTCTTAGGGGGAAAAAAAAAGCAGACCTTTCTTAGTTGTCAGAATCTTGTTGGGATGCAAATCTACAAGAATGTAGTCAGAAAGCTGGATAATGCAAAACAAATTAAAATGATTTTTGATTCTGCCCGATTGCCAAAATGAAACTAAATGAAAGCAATATGTCATTCCACAAATCGTGGCAAAATTCACACCCATCTGCTGATTATTTAATGCAACTCTAAGAGTTCCAAAACAGTCTGAAATCTTTGAAAATGTTGAATTATGCTGCAGTTTTTATCTTCTTGTTTTGCTTACTTTCTCTTACTCGCACCGACCTGTCAGACATTCACATGTTTGATGTCTTGAGCACAAATTAGCTGATTCCATCTTTACATAAAACAAGTATTGGGAGAGAGGTTGCAACCCTGATACTTCAAACCTCCCACTTTGAAATCCAACTTGAAATCAAAGCAGTGCAGTTTGGGCGGCTCTGACATCAAAAAATGCACTTTTGACATCAATTAAAGGCTCCACTAGTTGTCCAAAAACCCAAGACTATCCTCTCTAATTAAACCTCAAGGCTCCGTTCCCCAGAGGAGGCGGCAGGATTACAGGAATGGGTGCCAAACCCTCTTTTCACCTGCCTTGCAGCTAATAGCCATGCTAGCCGTGCTGTGCTGGGATACTAGGGCTGGCACAGGCTCAGGTTGGCAAATGGGTAGCTTTACCACTGAGGCTGTTGCAATTCTGAACACAACATGACATGCCTCTATGGCTGGTGTGATACTAGGAAACGCTTATTAACACTGCAAAAAAGGAACTGTTTGTGCTCTTAAAAGTCCAGGATTTAAGGAGGATTACAACCCAGCTGTCAAACAGAAGGATCCTGCAAACAGATGATATAATAGTGCTATTTGTGAGTGTTGTGTTCTGAACATTGATTTCTCCTTGTGGCTTTGTGCATAGCAGATACGGTGCGAGCAATTAAATGTAGGTGAAGAAAGTTACATTTTGGATGAGACTGTGTACATCAAGACTGTGTCTTAAAATGTAATGTCAATTCCAACCCTAGCTTTATCATGCACCAGCTTATCATTTCATTCAGCTCCAGAAATAGGAAAGCATCTTGGAAAAATCAGCATTCAAGCACATTACGCTAATGCTAATCAGCCTATGTAGAAGCCAGGTAATGCAACACTAAATGAGGCTATTGGTTGCACATGGTGGAAGATATATACAGGTACCGAGATTGCATAATGATTCCTTCAAAGTTATAATCATCTTCCTGTTTGAAATTCATGCAGTGCTGTGCTTCATATAAGCACCCACCAAGGAGATTCTTTACAGTGTGGCCTTCCACATTCTCTGTTCTCAACTTAAACTCTGAACTTCAGGGATAATTATGCTATTCTCCACAGATCTGCTAAAGTTATGCCAAAACGCCCACCTGAGGTCAACAGAGGTAAAGGTAGGAGTAAATAATACCATAGTCAGGATTCAGTGTGTTTAATGAATTAAGACTTAGTTTACAAAGGAAATATCTTCATGTCCTTCAGTGATTGGTCCAGCAATCATAAAAATCCTGTCGCCTGCATTAAGACTCAGCAAATGGAAAAAAATGATGAAGATATAATGTATCAGTTGGTTGCACAATTTGTGTAAACAAGTGTCATTCATCAGATCAGATACCTTAAAGCGACAACAGACCCAGAAGAACCTGGATTCAACTCCCATGTGCAATGCAATAAGATGTCCTGCATCAGTTAAATGATCCTCATCTCAGACCTTTTCTTTTCAGCTGCATCATCTAAGAGCAGTAGAACCTAACAGAGTGTGAGAGCAAACAGCTGTGACTGAAAGAACTCAATGGAGTGTGAAATGCTGTTATGATGGATCCATGTTAGGTTTACGTTTGTGTGTCTATAAATGTGGTGTGAGGCTCTAAGTACAGTTTTATGTCAGCCTGTCTGAGCAGTGGATCGAGTTTGAAATCTTGGGAAATGTGTTATTCTCTTTTTAGTGATACATTTCAGACTTATTATGAAGAAAGACTTTTCTAAAT